GGCGCAGTCGACTCAGTACCAGGGGGGGCAGACGCACCAGCACCTTGAGCAGCAACCTCACCAGCACCTGGAGCGGCAGCCTCACCGGGTCGAATGCCCGGGTCAGGCGGAACACGCAGGTACTGGGCACCCTTTCCACTAATAGACATCACATACATGGCAGAGAGAATAGCATCAAAGTCTAGAGCAAAGATATCAATGTTTTGCTTCATCAGATCAGCCCAGCGGGGTAGCTCAGTGGCGTCAGGGAACTGGGTACGCCAAGCGTCGTCGAGGCGTGAGAAGCAGCGCTGCGTGGGGTGCGCCCTCCCACACGTTTGACCAGTGCGGTCACCAGTGCGGATGACGTACGTGCAGCTAAGGCCACCCACCCCCCCGTGCTGAGCGTACCACTCACGGAGCTCCAGGGGCGACGGAGAGTGCTACAGGCTCTGGCCACCGCCAGTGCCTCCACGACCACCACCGCCGCCGCCACCTCCTCGGCCACTTCCTCCCCTGCCGCCGCCGCGCCCACTGCCGCCCCTGCCACCTCCCCCGCCACTGCCGCCACCACCCCCACCGCTGCCACTAGCCCCCCCAGTCCCACCACCACCCCCACCGCCGCCACCACCCCCACCACCGCCTCCCCCGCCGTCACCTCCGCCTCCCTTGCCCCCTTTGCCCTTGCGGCTGCGGCGCCCGCTCGAAGCAGACGCAGCCCCGACCTTCTCAGAACCAAGGAGGTCGACAGCAGAAGCAGAGGCTACAGAGGGAAGAAGGGGGGAAGGGGAACACCCCTCAAAAAAAGGGGTGCGGGGGTCGCCACGAGAGGCACCTACAGCGACTATGCTAGCCTCAGTTGCAAGCAGTTCCTTCTCGAGGAGGGCAATGGTGAGCTCAGTGGTGCAGCGAGCTAGGATGTGATCCCTGACAGCACGCAGAGTGTCAGGGAGGCGGGTGACTAGGTGGTAGAGAGTGAGCTAGAGCGGGGGAGGGTTCTTGGCAAGGAACTCGTCGTGCATGGCGGCACGGAAGCGGGCCTCACTAGTACGGAGGTGCGTGATGAGGTCAGCGACTATGTGGAACGAGGCCAGATCGGGAAACAGGTAGGGGAGTGAGAGACGGCCTAGCGCGGCAGAGGCAGGTGAGGAGTAGCGGGCAACGACAGCGGTGTACAGTGCTTGTGCAGTCTTGTGCTGCCCAAAGTGCTCGCGCTCATCTATCCGCAGGGAGTTGCGAATAGCGAAGCGAGCGTGGGCGTCACGAGTCTGCCACTGTGAGCGGGCAGTGCTGTCAGCAGTAGCAGTAGCATGGCCTAGGGCGTGATCGTACAGTGAGATGTCCTCCTTGGCAGTGAGCTGTAGGAAGAGGTGTAGGTCATCTAGCCAGGTTTCGAACTTCACTGGGCGGCCCTCAGCATCGAAAGCTAGCACAGGAGGGCTAGCCATAGCTGTAGTAGGAGAAGCAGTAAGGTAGCAGTGGTAGTAGTAGGTGCACCCTCAAACAATAGGCAGTGTGACACAGGTAGGGCGGCTCGGTCCAGTACGGGCGGCGCGGCTCGGTTCAGGTAGGGCGGCTCGGCTCGGGTAGGGCGGCGCGGCACGGTTTGGGCTGGGCGGCTCGGTTCGGGCGGCTCGGTTCGGACTGGGCGGCTCGGTTCGGGCTGCTCGGTTCGGGCGGCTCGTTCTAGCGGGGCCGTGGGTGTCGCAGCGGTGTGCTAAGGGGCGGCGCGTGGGTCGAGGGGGGGGCCGACGGGGCCGCTAAGGGGTGGGCGCGCGGGGCAAACGGGGTCGACGGGGCCAGCGGGGGCCGCTAAGGGGGGCTGCGCGCGGGGTCGACGGGGCCAGCGGGGCCGCTAAGGGGCAGCACGTGGGGTCGACGGGGCCGACGGGACCGCTAAGGGGTGGGCGCGCTCGGGGCCTAGGGGGCCGACGGGGCCTCTAAGCGGGGCCAGTGGGGCCTCTAAGGGGCGGCGCGCGGGTCGCTAAGAGGGGCGGGTCGCAGGTCACGGGGCCTTAGGGGGCCGTGAAAACGAGGCGCACGAGGGCGCTAGGGGGGAGGCGCTCGAGGGCGCTCTGACAGTGGGGGGCACGAGGGCGCTAGTAAGCTGCAGTAGTGGTGGGCCCTTAGAATCGGTCCTAGCGGAGGACCTGCTCTGATTCCATGTTATGAAGAAGAAGTGATTGCACAATGAAAGTTGGAGTACAAGTAGGAAACCCTAACTTTTGTGTACCCCCTAAAGGCTAACCCACTATAGCCTACACAATAATAACACATATAGTGTTTGACACCTTTTCTGCCTAGACAAGATCCATCTTCGTTTCCTGAAGTATTCTTGTACTCTCCTAAAGTTTTCTTACATCGTTCTTTTTTTTTTTTCCTCTGCGAGTGTCCAGGTTGAAGTCCCGATTCAACTGGAGATTCGGAGACGTTTTACAACCGTACAGCGGCTGTTCGACGTCACTGAAACGGCCCTTTTTCGGTACGTGGCCACCTTGTGCTCTTATATCTTTGTTATGCGCGGCCATTTTGCATGTTTCTTAAAAATGTGTTGCTCCCGCCTAAATCGTCGAGACGTGCTTACCGTGCTGTGCACGGAATGGAGGGCCTGGTGGGAGTCCCTTCTGTCTTGGTCGGTTTACGTCGTGCAGATGTGTGTTATTTTCACGGTGCGCTCCTCATCGCGCGACGTACTATTTATATTGGCGTATTTCGTGAGCAAGTTTCCAAACGGACGAGTATTCGTAGTGTACCTGCTGCCGACAGGTAAGTGGCCGCAGGTATGTTTACTACTAGATTCGTACTCGCCTGGCTAACGTCAGTTTGTTATGTCTACTACCAATTCGTATTCTCCTGGCTAACATCAGTTTTTTGCAGGTTCCATGGCAAGAGAGAAAGAGCTACCCTGCCATTCTTGAGTTTTGTTGTTTTTGTTTTTTTTCGTGTGTTTCAGAATTTCAGGCTCAAGTGGTTGAAGGGGCAGCAATGTTTGTTTCTGTTGAAGTACCTTCATTTAGATTGTTTAGTTGTGCCAGAACATGTTGATTATGGTGTTAGTGCAAATTGTTAGCTCTGATGTACTAGGATTGTATTTATAAAAGTCTATGTTTCTCAATGTACAAATATTCTTCACACTTTTAATTGCGTTGGTCAATATGCGTCTCAAAATTTGATTGGTCCACGTGGCATTTTGCCGTCCATTATTCACCTTGACACCTGGCATAAAATATCTGTAAACGTGGCGTTCATGCATCCACGTGGCAAAAGTAAATTTAAAACCCAAGACCTTCAGACAAATGTCACTCCTGATGTCTCCTTTTAGTTGGGTTGTGTGGTTGCGATATGGCCGTTCTTTTGCAGCATTGTCGTCACTTTTCCACAACTACGAAAGTCACCCCGCCCCAGAAGCCTTTGACGTAGACTTTTTTCTTGCGTAACCAAAGTTTGAAGCTGCTGGCCCGCAACTTTTCGGGCCTCACACTTTCGCGATGATAGTATCGTTTAATGTGGTTCTCGTCGCCGTTATGTTGGCCAGCTCCGCCGCGCCCTCCTGCGCGCAAGTGCAAACGCCGTCGGCAGAAGCGTCCGGTCGCGGCTTGCCTGCCGTCCCCGATACAAGCTCACCACGGTGGCCACGTAGAACGCTGCTTGCTGACTCCAGCGGGAACAGCAGCAGCTCGAGCACTTGCGGGAGAAGCAGCAGCAGCGGAAAAAGTAGCAGGAGCAGCAGTAGCGACACGGTTGTGGTTGTAGCCTGGTGGTGGCTCTCGCGGTATCCGTGCTTGTATCGATGGGTGCTACATTGGTCGCGTGCATGCTATGGAAGCGACTGCCGCCCAGACGGCCAGGAGAATCTTCAGGTGCGCTAGGGAAATGCATCGCCGGTGTTACAAGGAATCAAATCACGTATGTTCGATTATTGAGGCAATGTGTCGGATAGGGTGTTCTCAGCTACTTGGGAAGGCGGCAGCTATATGTCTTCTACTCACCCACCCCCTCCCCCCCCCCTTCCTCTCCCCACTCAAGACCCCCCTCCCCCCCTCCCCCCTCCGCTCCCCTCTCCCATCCTCGTTATTCACCTCATCCCCCCCCCCTGTTCCCTTCACGTCCCCATTTCTCCTGCCTTTCACCCCCCTTTTCGCCTTCTCCCCCCTTTCCCCCATGCCCAGATGCCTCAGGTGCGGCCGTAACTTCTTCTGTGGCTCCGGAGGAGGAACTGAGGGCGCAGGGGCGGGAGGGGGAGGGGGTGCGCAGAAGGCGAAGCAGACTTGAACTTCCCCCGCCCCACTCCCCCCCTCCCCCGACCTTTCATCCCCCAGGTGCCTCTGGTGCGGCTGTAACTTCCTTTGTGGCTCCGGAGGAGGAGCCGGTGCACAGATTTTAGAGGCTATGGTGCAGACTCAAACTTTCCCCCCATTCCCCCGTCACCCCCCCCCCCCCCTCCTCCCCCCGTCACCTCACCCCCCCCTCCCCCCCCCCTCGAACCCTTATCCCCAGGTGCCTCAAGTGCGGCCGTAACTTCCTCTGTGGCTCCGGAGGAGGAGCTGAGGGCGCAGGGGGCGGGCGGAGGGGGAGGGGGAAGCTCTAGCAAAGGCGGGGAGGACAGGGGGAAGGGAAAGGGGAAGGAGGCGACAACGAGCGAGGCGGGTGGAAGAAGAGGGAGAGGGGGGCGGGTGGGGAGTGGAGAGGTAAGGGAGGGGGATGGGGTGGAGGAAGAAGAGGAGAGAAGGGGGGAAGAGGGGGGAGATGAGGAGGAGGAGGAGGAGGATAGGCGGCAGCAGCTGCGGCGGCTGAAAAAGGAGGAGCAGCAGAGGCAGCAGCAACAACAGCAGGAGGCGGTGCGTGCAAAGGCCGAACAGCAGCAGCAATAGCAGGTCCGGCCCAAGCCTGGCGATCCAGGCTCGGGCGGAGGCACGGGGACGTTTGACATCCAAAAGGTGGTCAGCTTTCCCCTGAAAGTCCTTGTAGACGCCACCAACACTTTCGCCTCGGGCAACCATCTCGGGCAGGGTACCTACGGAATGGTGTACAAGGCGAAATTATCCTTCGGGGACGTGGTAGCGGTGAAACGAGCCAAGGCGGACCGGAAGCAGGACGCGGGGAAATTCCGAAAGGAGATCGAGCTGTTGTCTCGGGTCAGCCATAAGAACTTGGTGCGACTGGTGGGGTACTGCAGGGAGGGAGGCGAGCAGCTGCTGGTGTATGAGTATGTGGCGGGAGGGAACTTGCCCCAGAACCTCAACCCCACCTGGAGAGAACGTGAGTACGGCTTTGGAGTGGTTGGAGGAGTCTGATTCCCGGGTTGCTGGGTTATCCTCGTGTAGAAGGCAAGGCTGGTGAACCCTTTTCCCTCCCCCCTCAGTCCTCATTACCCTCCCCCCTCCCCCTCCCAACCCCCTCCCCTCCATTCTCTCTCTTTCCCCCCACGCCACAGGTCACAGCCGCCCCCCACTGAATGGGCGGAGAGGCTACTTATTGCAGCGGGCACGGCACGAGGACTAGCGTATCTGCATGAGGAGATTAACGTGCCCTTCATCCACCGGGACCTCGAATGGCACTCAAGCCCCGCAACATCATGGTTGACTGGCACATGGTGCCTTGCCTTTCCCTGTCTGTATCCCCCACTCCGTCCCCTCCTCCTCCTTAGCCCATTCTTTCCCGCTTATCCCCTCCGCTCTCCCCTCCCTTTGCCCTCTCTCCCAACCAACCCCACAGGCCACAGCCGTCCCCCACTCAACTGGACGGAGCGGTTACTCAGCGGGCACGGCACGAGGACTAGCGTATCTGCACGAGGAGATCAACGTGCCGTTCATCCACCGGGATGTGAAGCCCAGCAACATCATGATTGACCGGCACGTTGTGGCTAAGATCGCTGATTTCGGCACGACCAAGCCCATGACTCCGGAAGAGCTGAGGAAGATGTCAGTCACCATCCAAGGAACCACTGTGAGTGCTGTTTCTTGGGCTGGATAGTGCCCACCTCTTTCTACCTCTCTCTCACCTTTCCACCACCCTTCATCCACCGGGACGTGAAGCCCAGCAACATCATGATTGACCGGCACGTGGTGGCCAAGGTTGCTGACTTTGGCACTTCCAAGCTTGAGGAGGTGCAGAAGATGTCAGTAACCATCCAAGGCACCTCTGTGAGTGCTCTTGAGAGTGCTTGTTGTGAGTGCTTACGGGTAGTTGAGTGGTGTGTGAGTCCAGTTCCACTTGCTGACTTTGGCACATCCAAGCCCATGACTCCGGAAGAGCTGAGGAAGATGTCGGTCACCATCCAAGGCACCACTGTGAGTGCTTGTTGTGGGTGTTCACGGGTAGTTGAGTGGTGTGTGTGCTGGAGTGGTGTGTGCACTCCTCGAAGCACTCCTCGAAGCGCATCAACGTGTACTCGCTGGGCATTGTGCTGTTGCTCGAACTGCTTACTGGCAAGGGTCCTCTCTTTCGCCCCCTCTTCCCCCACACTCCCCCCCTTCCCTTCCCCCTCACCCACTGCAACCCTGACTACCAGCAGCATGCCCTTCCTTTATATGTTTCCCCCTCCTTGTTTCTTCTCCACCCTCCCCCCCACCCCCAGGGCTACTATGACCCGGACTATCTGCGCATAGGGCACTCCTTGAAGCGCATCGACGTGTTACCAGTGTGCGGGGCAACCCCGACTTCTAACCATGTTGCCCATACTGCTGCCACCCATACTCCCAAACCCCTCCCCCACCCCCACCCTCTCTCCCCCAGGGCTACTACGACCCGGACTATCTGCGCACGGGGCACTCGTCGAAGCGCATCAACATGTTACCGTACCAGTGTGTGGGACAAGCAAACCCACACTCCTAACCCTGCTGCCTATACTCCCACCACCCCGTCCTCTTCACCCATCTCCCCCAAGGCTACTGCGACCCGGACTATCTGCGCATGAGGCACTCCTCGAAGCGCATCGACGTGTACTCGCTGGGCATCGTTCTGCTCGAACTGCTCACCGGCAAGGGTCCGCACAAAGTCAAGCGCCCCTACCGATTCGATGTGAGATGAGTCCTGGTTGGGGGAATCAGGGAAGGTTGCTTGTGTGGGGGTAAGGGGCCACACCACACCACACCCCACCCCACCACTCCACACCACGCCCCACTCCACCCCATCACATCACATGTACTCGCTGGGCATTGTGCTGCTCGAACTGCTCACTGGCAAGGGCCCTCACAAAGTCAACCGCCCCTATCGACGGGGGGTAGCTGGGGATGGGCGGAAGGGGCCACAATGCACCACACCACACCACATGGCATGTATCCGCTCGCTGGGCATCGTGCTCCTCGAGCTGCTTACCGGCTAAGGGTCTCCACAAAGTCAACCGCCCCAACCGATCTGATGTTGAGATGGGAAATGAGAGAGAGTAGATCGGGTAGGAGGAGGGGAGGACGGAGGGAGGCTGGAATAGGGCTAGGGCTTTAGGGATTGGCAATCTGACAGAGTGAATATCCATCGTCTCACGCACCCAGCTATAGTGAATCTCAACTAAGGGCCTTTACCCTGCACACGAGCTGCACCAGTTTTTTTACCTTGCCCTTCGCAGCTCTGACTTCCAGAACCTATACTTCAGCCAACCGCTTCAAACGCCCTCAAACCAGCTGTTCCCCGCTTCCCTCTCCCCATCTACCCTCCCCAGGCAAAGGATCGGTTTGACAGAGGGGGTCTACCGGCCATCGTAGATCCAACCATGGGGCTGTACCCTGCGGACGAGCTGCACCACGTCTTCGACTTTGCCTTGCGCTGCACCGCACTCAACCGCTACAAACTCGCCTTTCTCCCGTTCCCTTTCCCCAGGCAAAGAATCGGTTTGACAGAGGTCTACCATCCATCATATACCCAACCATGGGGCTGTACCCTGCAGACGAGCTGCACCACGTCTTCGACCTTGCACTACGCTGCACTGACATCCAGAACCCCGCTGCGCTGCGCTGTACCGCAGTCAATCACTTCGAACACCCCTAAACCGCCTTCATCCCTCTCCACCCTTCCCAGGTGAAGGATCGGTTTGACGAAGGGGGTTTACCATCCATCATAGACCCAACCATGGGGCTGTACCCTGCAGACGAGCTGCACCACGTCTTCGACCTTGCACTACGCTGCACTGACATCCACAACCCCGCTGCGCTGCGCTGTACCGCAGTCAATCACTTCGAACACCCCTAAACCGCCTTCATCCCTCTCCACCCTTCCCAGGTGAAGGATCGGTTTGACGAAGGGGGTCTACCATCCATCATAGACCCAACCATGGGGCTGTACCCTGCAGACGAGCTGCACCACGTCTTCGACCTTGCACTACGCTGCACTGACATCCAGAACCCCGCTGCGCTGCGCTGTACCGCAGTCAATCACTTCGAACACCCCTAAACCGCCTTCATCCCTCTCCACCCTTCCCAGGTGAAGGATCGGTTTGACGAAGGGGGTTTACCATCCATCATAGACCCAACCATGGGGCTGTACCCTGCAGACGAGCTGCACCACGTCTTCGACCTTGCACTACGCTGCACTGACATCCAGAACCCCGCTGCGCTGCGCTGTACCGCAGTCAATCACTTCGAACACCCCTAAACCGCCTTCATCCCTCTCCACCCTTCCCAGGTGAAGGATCGGTTTGACGAAGGGGGTCTACCATCCATCATAGACCCAACCATGGGGCTGTACCCTGCAGACGAGCTGCACCACGTCTTCGACCTTGCACTACGCTGCACTGACATCCAGAACCCCGCTGCGCTGCGCTGTACCGCAGTCAATCACTTCGAACACCCCTAAACCGCCTTCATCCCTCTCCACCCTTCCCAGGTGAAGGATCGGTTTGACGAAGGGGGTCTACCATCCATCATAGACCCAACCATGGGGCTGTACCCTGCAGACGAGCTGCACCACGTCTTCGACCTTGCACTACGCTGCACTGACATCCAGAACCCCGCTGCGCTCCGCTGTACCGCAGTCAATCACTTCGAACACCCCTAAACCGCCTTCATCCCTCTCCACCCTTCCCAGGTGAAGGATCGGTTTGACGAAGGGGGTCTACCATCCATCATAGACCCAACCATGGGGCTGTACCCTGCAGACGAGCTGCACCACGTCTTCGACCTTGCACTACGCTGCACTGACATCCAGAACCCCGCTGCGCTGCGCTGTACCACAGTCAATCACTTCGAACACCCCTAAACCGCCTTCATCCCTCTCCACCCTTCCCAGGTGAAGGATCGGTTTGACGAAGGGGGTCTACCATCCATCATAGACCCAACCATGGGGCTGTACCCTGCAGACGAGCTGCACCACGTCTTCGACCTTGCACTACGCTGCACTGACATCCAGAACCCCGCTGCGCTGCGCTGTACCGCAGTCAATCACTTCGAACGCCCCTAAACCGCCTTCATCCCTCTCCACCCTTCCCAGGTGAAGGATCGGTTTGACGAAGGGGGTCTACCATCCATCATAGACCCAACCATGGGGCTGTACCCTGCAGACGAGCTGCACCACGTCTTCGACCTTGCACTACGCTGCACTGACATCCACAACCCCGTTGCGCTGCGCTGTACCGCAGTCAATCACTTCGAACGCCCCTAAACCGCCTTCATCCCTCTCCACCCTTCCCAGGTGAAGGATCGGTTTGACGAAGGGGGTCTACCATCCATCATAGACCCAACCATGGGGCTGTACCCTGCAGACGAGCTGCACCACATCTTCGACCTTGCACTACGCTGCACTGACATCCAGAACCCCGCTGCGCTGCGCTGTACCGCAGTCAATCACTTCGAACACCCCTAAACCGCCTTCATCCCTCTCCACCCTTCCCAGGTGAAGGATCGGTTTGACGAAGGGGGTTTACCATCCATCATAGACCCAACCATGGGGCTGTACCCTGCAGACGAGCTGCACCACGTCTTCGACCTTGCACTACGCTGCACTGACATCCAGAACCCCGCTGCGCTGCGCTGTACCGCAGTCAATCACTTCGAACACCCCTAAACCGCCTTCATCCCTCTCCACCCTTCCCAGGTGAAGGATCGGTTTGACGAAGGGGGTCTACCATCCATCATAGACCCAACCATGGGGCTGTACCCTGCAGACGAGCTGCACCACGTCTTCGACCTTGCACTACGCTGCACTGACATCCAGAACCCCGCTGCGCTGCGCTGTACCGCAGTCAATCACTTCGAACACCCCTAAACCGCCTTCATCCCTCTCCACCCTTCCCAGGTGAAGGATCGGTTTGACGAAGGGGGTCTACCATCCATCATAGACCCAACCATGGGGCTGTACCCTGCAGACGAGCTGCACCACGTCTTCGACCTTGCACTACGCTGCACTGACATCCAGAACCCCGCTGCGCTCCGCTGTACCGCAGTCAATCACTTCGAACACCCCTAAACCGCCTTCATCCCTCTCCACCCTTCCCAGGTGAAGGATCGGTTTGACGAAGGGGGTCTACCATCCATCATAGACCCAACCATGGGGCTGTACCCTGCAGACGAGCTGCACCACGTCTTCGACCTTGCACTACGCTGCACTGACATCCAGAACCCCGCTGCGCTGCGCTGTACCACAGTCAATCACTTCGAACACCCCTAAACCGCCTTCATCCCTCTCCACCCTTCCCAGGTGAAGGATCGGTTTGACGAAGGGGGTCTACCATCCATCATAGACCCAACCATGGGGCTGTACCCTGCAGACGAGCTGCACCACGTCTTCGACCTTGCACTACGCTGCACTGACATCCAGAACCCCGCTGCGCTGCGCTGTACCGCAGTCAATCACTTCGAACGCCCCTAAACCGCCTTCATCCCTCTCCACCCTTCCCAGGTGAAGGATCGGTTTGACGAAGGGGGTCTACCATCCATCATAGACCCAACCATGGGGCTGTACCCTGCAGACGAGCTGCACCACGTCTTCGACCTTGCACTACGCTGCACTGACATCCACAACCCCGCTGCGCTGCGCTGTACCGCAGTCAATCACTTCGAACGCCCCTAAACCGCCTTCATCCCTCTCCACCCTTCCCAGGTGAAGGATCGGTTTGACGAAGGGGGTCTACCATCCATCATAGACCCAACCATGGGGCTGTACCCTGCAGACGAGCTGCACCACGTCTTCGACCTTGCACTACGCTGCACTAACATCCAGAACCCCGCTGCGCTGCGCTGTACCGCAGTCAATCACTTCGAACGCCCCTAAACCGCCTTCATCCCTCTCCACCCTTCCCAGGTGAAGGATCGGTTTGACGAAGGGGGTCTACCATCCATCATAGACCCAACCATGGGGCTGTACCCTGCAGACGAGCTGCACCACGTCTTCGACCTTGCACTACGCTGCACTAACATCCAGAACCCCGCTGCGCTGCGCTGTACCGCAGTCAATCACTTCGAACGCCCCTAAACCGCCTTCATCCCTCTCCACCCTTCCCAGGTGAAGGATCGGTTTGACGAAGGGGGTCTACCATCCATCATAGACCCAACCATGGGGTTGTACCCTGCAGACGAGCTGCACCACGTCTTCGACCTTGCACTACGCTGCACTGACATCCATAACCCCGCTGCGCTGCGCTGTACCGCAGTCAATCACTTCGAACACCCCTAAACCGCCTTCATCCCTCTCCACCCTTCCCAGGTGAAGGATCGGTTTGACGAAGGGGGTCTACCATCCATCATAGACCCAACCATGGGGCTGTACCCTGCAGACGAGCTGCACCACGTCTTCGACCTTGCACTACGCTGCACTAACATCCAGAACCCCGCTGCGCTGCGTTGTACCGCAGTCAATCACTTCGAACACCCCTAAACCGCCTTCATCCCTCTCCACCCTTCCCAGGTGAAGGATCGGTTTGACGAAGGGGGTCTACCATCCATCATAGACCCAACCATGGGGGTGTGCCCTACAGATAAGCTGCACCGCAGTCAACAGCTCTAATGACCCGTAAAATGCCTTTCTCTCCTTCCCTCCTCCCCAGGTGAAGGATCGGTTTGACAGAGGGGGATTACCATCCATCGTGGACCCAATTATGGGCCTTTACCCTGCAGACGAGCTGCACCATGTCTTTGACCTCGCCCTTCGATTCACCGACATCCAGAACCCTGCTGTCTTGCGATGTACCGTACTCAACCACTTCCAACACCCTTAAACCGCCTTTCTTTCTCTCCTCCCTCCACCCTTCCCAGGTAAAGGACAGGTTTGACACAGGGGGTCTGCCATCCATCGTAGACCCAACCATGGGGCTGTACCCTACAGACGAGCTGCACCACGTGTTTGACCTCGCTCTTCGCTGCACCGACATCCAGAACCCTACCGCCCGCCCCTCCATGTCCCGAGTTGTGGCTGAGCTAGAGGTTGTTCTTGAGCCGGAGGCGATTTCCCGCTTCATTTCCTCCGGACCGCCGTCTCATGATTCGGCAGACTTCCGTACCGTGCCGTCAGGCTCGGGAGCTGGCCCGGGTGGGGCGGGGCTGACGCGGTTTGCCGGAGCTAGGAAGCAGGTGGGGCAGGGTGGTGGAGAAGGGGGGAGAGGTTCGGCGGCAGCAGGCTCGGGGGTGGAAGGTTTGGCAGTGGGAGGTACCGCAGGTGCAGCATTGGCTGCAGCAATCAGCTCTGCCTCTCCTTCTCGTTCTGACGCTGGTGATTCTCCTCTCACCCCAGACCCCCCTATCCCTCCTAACCGCTCTCAACCGCAACCCACCCCTGCTTGTTATGCGCCTCTTCCTCCTCCATCCTCGAAAAGAACACCGGGACCCCCAGCATTCAAGGGCAGAGCAGTAGGGGTAGCAGCAGCAGGTGCTGCTGAGGCCACTGGTGGGGATATCCGGGATATGAGGGATAGAGAGCTTGATGGTGCTTGTGTTCCAACAGGTCCAAATGATCCAAGAAGCACTGGCAGAGCTTATGTTGTGAGTCACGACGTAGGCGTGCAGATGAAACCTGCACCAGTTGCCGCCTTCCGAGGGGCGTCGGCAGCTGCTGGGGGGGGCGCAACTGGAGCAGGTGACATTGTAGCAGGCGCAAGTGGTGGGAATGCAGGTGGAATTGGTGGTGGCGGTGGTGTTGCTGCTCCTAATCAAGAATACAGAGCAGGAGAGGGATTTGGTGAGGGAGGTGGTGGAGGTGAGAGGGGTGAGGGGGGATATGAGGAGGGCTTGGATGCGTCGTTTGATTCTAGCAGATTTGATCGTAGCGGGGTGTTTAGTTATGGGGCCATGCCGCCGGCTTAGACCGTGATCCTAACTTCGTATCAAGCGAGCCTCGTATGAGGTTCACGCTGAAAAATCTTATAAACCCAAAACCTCTCGCTGATTTTACCAGGCAAAATGTACAATCTTGATACGAGGTGGCCTAATATGAGGCTGCAGGAATAAGCTCTTAGACTGGGTTTTTCATGGTTGGTCCAAAAAAAAAGATCAGTTGATGTCAGTGCACTAGTTTGATATTCTTTTCTGTAGTAAGCCATGGCTGTACGAAGAAGCACAGTGTTGCCTTTCCCTTACTATTTAACAAAGCATCATGGAAATGCCAGTTCTGCATTGTACTCAACATAAATTGTGTTCCTACGCCTCATATTAAGCGTACCTCATATCAGGCTCACGCTGAAAATTTCTCTAGACTTGAAATCATTTGCTAGTTTGACCAGGCAAGTCTGATATAAGGGCGCGGTAAAAGTGGAGAATCGATTGCCCTGGGCTCGTCTTTTTGGGGCGGTTGTAAACGGTTGTGTACCTTTCGTATGAAACAGGGGTGTTTCAGTGCGGTGATCGGATCAATATCCCCCGGTCGAGCACTTGAACCGCGTCATAAGGTTGCCTAATATGAGGCGTAGAAACACGCATACTGCAATAGAGAAAATCATACAAGGATAAATGTTTAGATATCAAGTTCGAAAAGATCTTGTTATGGACTACTGCCATCAGAACATCGCACAATGTTCTTAGCGAATAGCAAACGAATGTTTGACTGGTAGACAGCCCATATCCAGGGCCAGGTGTTGCGTGATTGCATCGTGCATCTGTACTGTCGATCGAACCAACTCTCCAGACAAAGGCCACACCTGCACCCATTCAGATAAGTCGAACCGTGGGCAGAACACAAACGATTGCTGGGGAGTGTATGATGTCGTGTATCTTTGAAGGTAAATCTAGGGGCAGAACCCTGGAGATGAAACAAATCGGCACTGTAGAAGCAATCAGAACATGGTTACCTGGCACAGTTATGAGCTGCTAGAATCCACATGACACATACATCTGCGTCTTCATTCAGCGAAGCCGCAGGAAAGTCCAGATGTCAGATGCATTCCGGTTTCGCCCTGCGGTTCGTGATTTGTGCCATCTCGAACAGTTGCAGCAACATTTGGGAAGGCCCGCAGCGCAGCAAGGACAATTCGGCGACACACCATCTCCAACCCAATTTGTCTCGCAAATAGAAGTCCAGCCATTGAAGAGATTCAGACCAACTCAGCAACGCAGCAACACAGGACACAAATTAGGTATTTACATCCTTCGGATTAGCATTTCATCCATCCATTTCCCACACAAATTCAGAGAGTATCGTTCCCCAGATATATTTTACTTTCAGGAGCGCCATAATGACACGATCTGCTCTTCTCGCGTTCTCCCTCGCGCTGCTGCTCGTGGCGGCGCGCGCCGGCAGCCCCATCACAAGCTCGACGGCGAACGAGAAGCCCGACCAGAGCAGCAAGAAGGACGACGGGCTCATGACCGAAATCCCCGCGGCCATAGCGAAGCAGGCGGCGGCGGGCAACGCGGAGGGAGTGACATATGTTGACACGGCGCAGGACACGTTCTTCATGGCTGATGTGAAGAAGGCCGGGTGGAACGCGCAGAAATGCCCGCCGGGTTTGAACAAGGAGCTGGCGGGCGCGTGCACGCCCAAGAATTGCTCCAAGGGCGGCATTCCCGCCAAGTGGAAGACGGCGTACCTGCAGAAGAACAAGCTCGGGTATGAGCTGTACGTGCCGGGTAACCCGCTCACGCTGCTCAAGGCCAACCCCGCGTCGTGCTGCAACACGTGCGCCGCGACGCCGCTGTGCACGTACTGGCAGTACATCCCCGACATTACGATCGACGGGAAGAAGGGCAAGGGCGCGTGCTACCTGATCCACGACCAGATCGACTTCACGTGCGGAGAGATGACCGCGCAGTACAGCACGGAGACGAAGCCCGTGCCGCTTCAGGTGCGCATCGGCGGCGAGTGCAACCCGAGCGCCAAGATTCTCAACGACCCGCATCTGGTGGGCGCGCACGGCACGCACTTCGACTTCAACGGCCGCCCCGACAAGGCCTTCTGCCTGCTGACGGACCGCGACCTGCACGTGAACATGCTGCTGCGCGGGTACTACGACGAGCGCACCGACAACGCGGCTCTCGTCGTCGACGGCAAGGCCGTGCACACGTGGATAAAGGAGCTCGGCATTGTGTGGACCGCCAAGGGCGTCGACCACAAGATTCGCATCGCGGCGCGCGGCGGCAAGCAGCAGGAGCGCGGCGACGGGTTCGTGAAGAGCATCGAGATTGACGGCGAGGCGATTCCGCGCATGCAGGTGGGCGACAGCGTGACGAGCGACGGCGGGCTGAGGATTCAGTTCCGCGTGCTGGAGAAGGAGGGGCCGTTCGATGTGGATTACTACCTTCTGACGATCGACGGCCTGATTTCGCTCGACCTCCGCCTGCGCGTGGCGCACCCGAAGCTGCAGACGCCGAGCGACGCCGAGGCGCACATCAACGTTGGCATTGCGGAGCTGGAGCACACCGACGCGATCCACGGCGTGCTCGGGCAGACGTACCGCGACGACCACGCGCAGCGCGCCGCGGACTTCCAGAAGCTGATCGCGAGCCTGCACCGTCCCATCTCCGCCGATGGCGCGGAGGGACAAGGGTTCCTGGATGGCACGCCTCGTTCGTACGAGGCGAGCGACGTGCTTGCTGTGGACTGCGCTTATACCGCGTATGGGCGCGCTAGGCAGGTGATGCCCGTGCAGGAGTTTCCGTGAAGAGCTGATTGCAGGTGTATCGTACAGTGGGCTGGATCACTTGCATCTAGTAACAACCACTAGACTTATATCTGTGTACTATACCATCATTGTTTTGATTAAATTTAACAAACGTTTTTCGTGTCTGCCGTGCATTCCAGTAATACTCGCCCCGATGAATCAGTTTTAACCTCAGTGCTCTTGGGAAATTAAGTTAGTTTCTCAGGCAAACTTCATTTCATCAAGTACACTGTTTCTCGCTACACTGAACTGTGCCGAACAGGTGGAAAACCATGCTTGAACCATACCAAAACGCGATTTAACCTCCGTTAACCGTGCTTCTCCCATCTTGACTTAATTATAACCGAATGCACAATGGCGAGAAAGAGGGTGTACATATGCCTTGTGTTTTCTGTGCGTCTGCAAGATCATGTCCCCAAATCTTGACTCTTATCGCGTATTCTGCACACTGACACCGACACCTCTGTACCAATTATTGTACAGTTCACTACACTCCATGGATGATTCCGCGCTGCGGCGAAGTAGATCCGTCTCTGCTGCTAGCACCATATAAATATCCAGCCCGCGTCAAGGCTTTCCGTTTCAGCCGTGCGGCCTGAGGAGGAATGAGAGATTAAGATTCATTCAGAATATAACCCGCCCTAAGGTCTCTTGGACTTCGCCATGACATCGTGTCGCACTCTTCCAGCCATTCGACAGTGTCCCGGACGGCCGCGACAGCATCAATTGACGAAGCGACCGTTTTGTTTAGAGGTGCCACGACGACATTCAGCAAAATCACTGAAGCAGTTAGCAAAACGACACCTTCAGCATCAGAGGCCCTCCGGTCGCTACCCTCACGTTTCCCGACTCTTTCTCGTCCTCTCTATCATATTTCTCCCGTCGCTCTTTCCCGACGGTCCTGTACGCGCCGTTTCAGCGCGTCGGACCTCTTGGGCCAAGAAGTTTCGGCCGGTTCGCGTGCGCGTGCCGCTACCGAAGCTGATTGGCGGGATGGGAGACAAAAAGAATCGACTCGCCAAGACCACCCGCCGGTAAATGTTCTTAAAAGGCCTCAGCTGAACTTGGTTCGCCTTAATTTGTCGTATCTGTTGGAGGTTGAGTGTGGTATCTTTAGCTGTCCCGGGTTAGTCGAATGATCTTAGTTGATCAAAGCCGCGTACTTTCCGTCTCCCTCCCCACTCTCTCCCTGCCTCCCATAATCTTATCCTCCTTTTTCATATGACCAGGTACGTGGGTCAGGCCACAGGGCCTGAGAGCAAAGTGTGTGACCCCAGTGAGCGAGGGGCGTACGTGAGTGATGGGCGGATAGGACGCCTACCACCCTGCTTACCGCAACCACCTCCCTTTTCGCCCCTGCCTCCCCTCGTCCCGAATTCTCAGATACGTGGGTCAGGCCACAGGGCCTGAGAGCATAGCATGGGACCCGAGCGGGCGAGGACCGTACGTGAGTGTGAGCGACGGGCGCATTCTCAGGAGGAAGACGGACGGCAGTGACTGGGAGGAGTTCACCTATGCCTCGCCCCACAGGTACCGCGCATTGCTGCCGCACTGGTACCCTTGCTGCCGCACTGGTACCCTTGCTGCTGCACTGGTACCCTTGCTGCTGCACAGGTACTGGGAAGCTTTTAAGGTTTGAGGTTTGTGAGGAGCCTCAAAAAGCGAGTGGGGGAGGGGGGAGGGTGGAGGGGCAAGGGCCGTATGTGAGTGTGAGAGATGGGTGCGTTCTCAGGAGAAAGGCAGACGACACAAGTCCGCCCCACAAGTGGCTGGGTGGGAGGAGTTCACTTATACCTCGCCCCACAGGTTCTATTTTCCTCAGTTCAACGTGTTGTGATTTTTTGTGGGGAAATCGAGATTCAAATGGGGACGAGTCATACGTGAGTGTGATTTTTCTTCCTTGCCCATCCATCTTTCCCACCCTCGTTACTGTCACTATCTTTTGCAAGGACCTCGGCAATCTGCGATTCGCGTACCGCGAAGCTCGCACTAGAGGACAAATGCGGCCGGCCGGTGGGAATGGCATTTCACCCGACCACGGGGGACCTGTACTTTGCTGACACTTACTACGGGCTCTTCAAGGTGAGAAACACTCTGTCCTCGATATAAGAAGTCTCACGAGCCTCGGTGATTTTGCACGTGTCATGTCAATTGGGGATGGTAAACTGGTGTATGAGTAGAGCAGGAGGGCGATATGGATGAATGGCACGGGTGGCACAGATGGCATGGATGGCGCATGATTATGTGCATGTATCCATAATCCATGTGCCTAGGAGATCTGCATCACTCTGTTTGTGCATGACTTTTTCCCGTCGGTTTCATTTCTCCTCTTTGCCTGTTCTTCTGTTCCTCACGTAGAAGCGCATTCTCACCTTGGATCAAGATCTTATGGTCAATATCATTCTTGCCAGGTGAGCAGCAGCGGCGGGCAGGCGACGAAGTTGGTGGATGTGGTGGATGGGACGCGCATGATGATGTGCAACGACCTGGACATTGATGCTGACGCTAATGTGGTCTACTTCACTGACTCCAGCTCACGATGGGCTCGCAGGTGGGGGGGGGGGGGGGGGGGTGGTGGGGGAAGCAGCTCCCGATGAGCTCACAGGTGAGGGGGTAACAGATCTGCACACACACAGGCAGAGCATAGAATCGTGCCTTAGAGGGGTGTATGCATCTGTGCATGTGCCTTGTGAATCTGGAGGCAGGGACTTCCTCCCTCTGCTTCTGGAAGGGCGCAAGGATGGGCGGTTCATGAAGTGTGCCCATATACAGATTCATATATATGCACATTCATACCCATACCTGGAGGCAGGGACTTTCTCCCTCTGCTGCTGGAAGGGCGCAAGGACGGGCGGTTCATGAAGTGTGATATCAGCACGGGCAAGATTTCTGTGCTTGTGGACAAGGTCAATACCTTCATACGCATATGTTCACATACAAATACACATACGTATGCATTTCTGTTGGCAGAGACTTCCTCCCTCTGCTCCTGGAGGGGCGCAAGGACGGGCGTTTTATGAAGTATGACATCGGCACAGGCAAGACCACTGTGCTTGTGAACAAGGTCGCGTTTGCAAACGGCGTTGCGCTTTCACAGGATAAGAAGTTTGTCGTCTTCTGTGAAACGACCTACCTCAGGTGGGCTGTAACGGTGGATTCTTTTTTGTCAGCCTGCATTGTTATCGGCTCCTGATTTGAACCCTTTCTGGCTTCATCTGCTCTTGTTTGCACCTCTCCGCATTCCTCCTTTCGGTTTCCTGCTTGGTCCGTGCCATGTCATATCCATGCCTTTTTCCAACCCCCTTCCTCCCCTCTCTCCTCTCCATTTCCTCTCCTCTCCATTTCCATCCCTCCCCATCCCCTCGTCCGCATCCGCTCTCCTTCCCTCTCGCTTCCATGCTTCAGGTGCCACAGGTACTGGATTCGAGGCCCAAAGACTGGAAAGAAGGAGCTGTTTGTGAAGCTCCCTGGATACCCTGACAACCTCAGCCTCAACCCCAGAGGAAGGTTCTGGATCGCACTCAACTCCCGCAACTCGCTTGTAACAGGTGAGGCCTTTGGGGCTTTTGAGGTGCCCCAAAAAGTCTTGACGCTCCTCAATTTTTTCGGAGGCGCCTCGAAACTCGCACATAAAGGGTGAGGCCTTTGGGACCAGTTTGATGTGCGTGCAACAACCCAGACGTTCTCCATAAACGTTGTGTGGCGCTTGGATTTTTTTTGGGAGCTGCATGGTTCGAGGTGACATATGAGTCGACTCAAAAGTCACCACGACCCAAGCGTTCTCCATGAACGTTGCATGGCCTGTTGGTTTTTTTGGGAGCTGCATGGTTTGGAGGGCGATTGGTTGAGACGTGGCTGTTGTTGCATGTGTGCACCTGGTTTGAGTATGGTCTTGCTGTGATGTTGCAAGGAGGTGAGGTAGGTGTTACCATATGCACGCATTAGAATGGCTATAAGGTGTTTGTCACTGATAGCCCTCTATTTAGCAGCACGGAGACTCGAATAGGTAAGTTCAGTGCGTGATCCAATCATTTTCCTCAACCCTTCTGACCTATTTCCAAACTCTTGACCCTTCTCACCCAACCCTTGATTTCCCCTCGTTCTCTTTCTCCACCTCGTGCGATTTGGCTCTGGCAGCATTACTTATGCGGACTCCAATCATTAGAGGTGCAGTGCTAAAACAACAGGCTGGTTACAATTTTGCCAAGGGAACATCAGAGCGCCTAGCAAGTGGAGTATTAGTTGAGATGGATACAAATGGGAAGATAACTGACATTCTCGAGGACAAAAATGGCAAGAAAATCAAGGAGCTAAGTGAGGTTGTGGAAAGAGAAGGAAAGCTATGGCTAGGTTCTGTTGTCAACGACTTTGTTGGTACAGTGAACTATGAAGCAAGGTAATGTTATCACTTCCAACTACACCCTCTTTCGCGCTACACTGTCATTGGCTATATGGGCCCTGTGGCTCAACGCGCCAGAGGACGCGTTTTAGTGGACTTTTGCACCAGTACGGATTGACGTGGTTAGTTACTTTCGAAGACGGTCGTTTGAACGTTTGATATGGCTCGGTAGGGTACCCAGGATAACGGAATTGCGAATCACTCACCCCCTAGAGACGGTTATTGTAACAATTCCGAATACGTCCAAGGAACAGTTTCACTGTAGCCAGTAAATCCCGTTGCCAGTGTAGCGCGAAAGAGGGTGTACTGGTAAATATCGTATTAGAAACTTTGTCTCCCGAGGTTGCCAGTCACTTTGTGTAGCGTTGTTGCGGGTGCAATGAATCGAAGTAGCGAGAATTGCACTAAGGTGTCAAACGAGTACAAAAATGTGAGCGAAGGCATGAGCGAACATTTATACGCGAAACATGCAAACGGTAACGCGGTACATGCGAGCTAGCTAGTGCTACGCTGGAGCGAGGCTCGGGCTAGTCCCGAAGCGTAGGCCGACACGTGTCAGAATATTATCTTATTGTTCTAGCCTGTAGTGGGGTGCTCTATAGCGAGTACAACCCTTCTAGGGTTTGCTATTTGTATCCTCATTCTTGCTAGTTCAATCCTCTTTCTTTCTTCAAACTTTGTCATGCTATCAGAGCAGGTCGATCCCCTTGGATCGATCCTGTGGGTGGGTTACCACCTCGCTTCCGCTGCTACTTTTTCCTCCCGCCGTGCGCCCCGAGGCGCGCGGCGGTTTTCTGCCCGCCGTGCGCCCCGAGGCGCGCGGCGGTTCATTGCCCGCTGTGCGCCCCGAGGCGCGCGGCGGGCTTCTCCCCTACGTCGCGGCCCCGCCCCGATCGTCGTGGCCCCGCCCCTCGACGCGGCCCCGCTCTACGTCGCGGCCCCGCCCCGGCCCGTCGCCGCCCGTGCGCCTGCCCGGCTCGGCCCCGCCCTTCGTCGCGGCCCCGCCCCGGCCCGTCGCCGCCCGTGCGCCTGCCCGGCTCGGCCCCGCCCTACCTTCGCGGCCGACGGACGACGGGACGACGGGAATTGGGGGGGAGGGGAGAAAAGGGGGGGGGGGGGGGGGGGGGACGGGGCCGGGGCCGCGACGAGGGGCGGGGCCGCGACGGTCGAGGCGGGGCCGCGACATAGGGCGGGGCCGCGACGTAGGGCGGGGCCGCGACATAGGGCGGGGCCGCAACGTTGGGCGGGGCCGCGAAGGTAGGGCGGGGCCGAGCCGGGCAGGCGCACGGGCGGCGACGGGCCGGGGCGGGGCCGCGACGAAGGGCGGGGCCGAGCCGGGCAGGCGCACGGGGGGCGACGGGCCGGGGCGGGGCCGCGACGAAGGGCGGGGCCGAGCCGGGCAGGCGCACGGGCGGCGACGGGCCGGGGCGGGGCCGCGACGTAGAGCGGGGCCGCGTCAAGGGGCGGGGCCGCGACGATCGGGGCGGGGCCGCGACGTAGGGGAGAAGCCCGCCGCGCGCCTCGGGGCGCACAGCGGGCAATGAACCGCCGCGCGCCTCGGGGCGCACGGCGGGCAGAAAACCGCCGCGCGCCTCGGGGCGCACGGCGGGAGGAAAAAGTAGCAGCGGAAGCGAGGTGGTAACCCACCCACAGGATCGATCCAAGGGGATCGACCTGCTCTGATAGCATGTCAAAGTTTAGAAGAAAGAAAGAGGAATGAACTAGCAGAAATGGGGATACAAATAGCAAACCCTAGAAGGGTTGTACTCGCTATAGAGCACCCCACTACAGGCTAGAACAATAAGATAATATTCTGACAGTTGGTACCTGTTTTTACGTAATAAACTCCTTTAGCTTCTGCCAGCTGCTGTGAATTTATGGTCGTGAAGAATGGGTCGGTGCGGTATCCGTGGGTGAATAGGCCTGTTAAAAGTGGGTTGGTCTGGGTGAGTAGGATGGCATGGAGTTGGGCGGTAGGGCGGGTGAGTGCGTCGGCGATGTTGGATGCGCTTTTCTTGTACGTAACCGTGTAGTGGAAGTTGGACTCGAGGTAGTCCAACCAGCGATTCTGTCGTGGATTGAGATTCGGTTGGGCGCGTAGGCACTGTAGTGATCGGTGGTCTGTCCGTACTGTCACGTCGCCGCCAGTCAGATAACACCGCCAAACCTTGAACGCGTGCACGATCGCCAACATTTTGCGGTCGTGTATCGGGTAATTGCGTTCGGGCGGATACAGCTTGCGGGACTCGTACGCGATTTGCTGGAGGCCGTTCCCAAAATCCTGCAACAGTAATGCTCCCACAGCGATGTTACTTGCGTCAGTGACAAGCTCGGACGAACGGTGGGGATCTGCGATGTGAAGCACGGGCGGTGAGCACAAAATGTTTTTGAGGGCCGAGAAGGCAGCTTGCTCTTTCTCCCCCCACGTGTACTCAACCCCCTTCCTCAGCAGGTTAGTCAACGGGGCGGTCAGCTGCGCCATGTCGGGGACGAACCGGCGCACGTAGTTGACGAACCCCAAAAAACTCTGCAACTCGGTCAAGTTGGTCGGCGCGTGCCATGCTTGAATCGTCGCAATTTTCTTCGGGTCTATTTCCACTCCTGCAGCTGAAATAACGTGTCCCAAAAATTCTAGGCGATCCTGTAATAACTCACACTTAGACTCTTTGGTCAGTAAGCGGTTCTCACTCAGGATTTTAAAGACTGCGTCGATGTCCTGTAAGTGCTGTGCTCTGTCAGGGCTGTAGATCAGTATGTCGTCCAGGTATACTATGACGCACTTATCTAAGAGCGGGCGGAAAGCTTCGTTCATGGTCATTTGAAAAGTGGCGGGGGCGTTGGTCAGTCCGAAAGGCATGACAGTGTATTCGAAGGATCCGTATCATGTGCGAAATGCGGTCTTAGGGCAGTTGGGTGGGTTGACGCAGATCTGGTGGTAACCCCCTCGGAGGTCGATTTTGGAGAAAACCCGGGTTGTGCGCAGTTGGTCGATCAGTTCGTCAGCTCGCGGGATGGGGTAACGGGATTTGATGGTAACCCTGTTCAGTGCTCTGTAATCTATGCACATGCGAAATCCCCCGTCTTTTTTCGGTGTGAACAGTATTGGTGCTGCAAAGGGCGACGATGTCAGTAGAGCTTGTCAGATTTATATGACATAGTTGCTGTAGGCTATAGTGGGGTAGCACATATGGGGTACAGGGTTTCTAGGGTTGTATTTGTACCCAATCTTTTCTTAGTCATTTTATTCCTGTTCACTTGTTTCACATAGTATAGAGCGGGTCCTTCCTAAGGACCGTTTTTTTAGGGCCCACCGAAGCGCGCCCCGAGGCGCGCGATTTTTTTTTTTTTTTTTTTAGCGACCCCTCGGGTCGCCATTTCCCTCGCGGCCTCGCTGCCCCTCCTGATCGCGGCCCCGCCGACTGCTTGACGCGGCCCCGCCACCTCCACTGACGCGGCCCCGCCGCCGGCTCTGACGCGGCCCTGCCGGCCCGCCGCTGCACCTGACGGCCCCGCCGCTGCACCTGCCGGCCCGCCGCTGCATCCTACGGCCCGCCGCTGCACCCTACGGCCCGCGGCCTCATGCTACCGTACCTCTTTCCCGACCTTGCTGCTTTTGCCACAGTCGCCGACCTCATTACCCACCTGCGCACTAGTGACGCTCGCTTCCGCGCTGCACTTCCTGCTGAGTTCTGCGCCAAGAACCCCCCCCCCCCAGTACTTCACTCTCTACTACATTGTCATCCGCCTCCCTAACTCCCTTCGCGGAGTCAGGGACGACCTACTCGCAGTCTGCCCCACCACTCTCACTGTCGAGATCCTCGAGAAGTCCCTCCTCGCAGCCGAGAAGGGCATTCTCGCTGTAGGGGCCTGTCGTGGTGACCCGCGCACCCCCATCTTTGAGGGGTGTTCCCCCTCCCCCCTCCTGCCCTCTGTCGCCTCTGCTGCTACGGCCGACCTTGTTGGTTTTGAGTCGGTCGGAGCGGCGTCTGCCCCCAGCGGGAGACGTCGCTCTGGCAAGAGCAAGGGGGGCAGGGGCGGTGGTGGAGGCGGCGGGGGCGGTGGAGGCGGAGGTAGAGGCAGCGGCGGAGGTGAGGGTGGTAGCGGGAGTAGTGGCGGGAGTGGAGGTGTCGGCGGAGGCAGTGGAGGCGGGGGCGGCAGCGGCGGTGGTAGTGGGGGTGGAGGCGGAGGCGGCGGTGGCGGCGGCGATGGTGGGAGGTAGTGGGGGTGGAGGCGGAGGCGGCGGTGGTAGTGGGGGTGGAGGCGGAGGCGGCGGTGGCAACGCTGGGCGGAGTGTGCGAGACTGGTACTGTGTCGACTTCACCCTCTCTCACTTTCACTCTTGACTCCGGGGCGTCTCGCTCCTTCTTTCGAGACCGCACCACACTCACGCCGCTTAGTCGGCCAGTGGCAGTCTCCTTGGCAGACCCCTCAGGGGGTCCTGTTCTGGCTCGCTACTCCACTGTCCTGCCGTGCCCTGCGGTCCCGTCTGGCGCCCTGTCCGGTCTCTACCTCCCCTCGTTCTCTACGAACTTGGTGGCGGGTGCTGACCTACAGGATGCAGGGGTTGACCACTTCACCCCTGCGCGCCGACGAGTCACCCACTGCACGGACGCGGACACGGGTCGACACCTGACCACATTCACATGTGGTCCAGGGTCGAGCCTGTACACACTCACTGTTCCGTCTCCTTCTCCTGCGTCTGGTCGTGTAGCTGCGTCGGGTCAGGTGTTTGCTGCAGCGTCCAGGTCTGGTCCTGAGTCTGCCCC